TGCAGACGATGGCCCCAGATGTGGGGTTTGGGGATTTCGGGTTTGTTATAACTAATAAGTTAGAACGTAATTAATACGATTTTGTGATGTTTAATTAACTTCCCTAATTAATTTAGAGTATTTTTCTAATTGGGCCACTTTTGAGAGTATGGGGCCTAATTTTCCCTTTAATATTCTTTCTATGGGCCTGCTCATGATTGGGCTCTGGAACAAGTTAAAACGACAAAGCATTTCGACAAATAAATGGGCCAGCAACTGCATTCTTCTTTCTATGGCCCTGTTACTCATTGGGCTGTGGAACCGTTAGTTTAAATTCCGTTAATTCCCGTTAGTTTTCCCGTTAAAACAATAAAATTCCGTTAGTTTTTCCGTTAAAACAACAAAATTCCGTTACATAGCCACTTTTAATATGTAGAAGATATATATATAGCAATTTAAGAAGTTTTTGGATCTATTAGCATAATTTTAGAAAGTACAAGGATCTAAGTGAAAATTAGAAAAAATATCTCGTTGATGGATGGAGAGGATTTATTATTTGTGAAAAGTTGAGTTTTGTGTAATTTAGCGATTTTTGGAAAGTTTAAGGACTAAAGAGATTATTAAAAAAGTTTAAGAATCATGATTTTAAAGTTGAGTATTGCGGTGATATCTTGCTGCAACGAGAGTAGTGAATTTTATGAGCTTAAAATCAAGATTTTGCCTCAAATTTTAAATAATGAAAAAAACAGTTTTAGAGAGAATGTAACAAGTTAAGATTACTGATTATAATTTGTAGACTTCTAATACTATTGAGATGTTGATGAATCCAAGTGAAAATGAGTATTAAATTTCTTATTTTTATTTATTGGACCAAATAGCTAACTATTGAAGTAGCGAGAATTATCCTATTAGTATTAGTCGTATTAAAAGACAAATTATGAACCCAGGAAAAAAGTTAATTTGAACAAATCAAATTCTAGGTGGAGATGGTTAAAGTAAACTATTTTTTTGAGAATGTTAGTTTTCAAATTATCATATCAATATTGAACTTGTTTAGTAGCTTGTAATTAATCATATATATGATGCTCGGGAAGAAAATATTTTGAATAAGTTCGAGCTAAGTTGGAGATGACCAAAGAAAATTATGGTTGAATGACCTTTTAGAAAAATAAATCCATTTTTTCTTGTAATTTAGTCTGCACTTTTTTTATGGCAGAATTATATTTCCTATTTTAGTTTAATTGAAGTGGGATTTTAAATCTTACATATAATTAATTTAAAAGTTAGTGGTTAACTCCTAATGTAATTATGCTTGGCCAAATCCAATTTCATTATCTAATTAATAGTTTAGGATTATCACTAATATTCTAAAAAAAAAATTAAGACCGTGTCTGGTTCTTATTTTTTGCAGATTAAAATTACAAAATTGAACATTACCTTATCCATGAAGGCCCCACACGAGAGAGAGGCAATTAACTATTGCGGCTGGAACCCATAGCAACGGTCAAATAATGGCTAAAAATCAGATAAAAAATTAGAAACAGACACAACCTAATTGGCATGAACAAAAGATCAATAATAGAACCTGCCTATTTTTGTCCCCATATCATCCATCTTCCATACTCCAGCAGATCCTTTTTCTTATGGAAAACCGTTCATCATAAATTTTACTTCCATATATTTCTCTTTACAGAAAATTATAGGCTCAAAGTCTCTTCTGTTTTCATTAGTTTCATCCCTTTTATTTCATATATAGCAGCAAACCCGTCCATGGATGTATTAATTTCCCAGCGAATTAATCAAGAAAAAAGGCACTAAATTCTAAAGCCTTTGGGTATTAGTTTTCAAATTGCTCGAATAAACAGAAACCAAACACGGCCTTAGTCTTCAAATTGCCCGATTTTAAACAGAAAAATTCTTCAAATTGCTCGAATAAACAGAAACCGTCACAGATTAAGCCGAATGATGATGATTACACTCAGATGTGCAAGGCGAGGTCCCACCACCGGTTTCCTCCTCCCCTTCTCCACCGCCGCCACCACTTCCATCCAGCCCTACCGTTTTTATTCGAACCCATTTTTTCCTTCCTCCGTCAATTCCACCACTTCACTTCAACGAGGAACGGGATACCCGTCAGAGGTAAACGATGTTGTTTCGTGCTTCAGAGATTGGTTCATGTCCCGAAACAACCCGTTGCTTGATCGAATCTTCGAAATCCTTCGTGCCCATGACGACTCTGCTGCCGATTCTGCCCTTTCCCGCTTCAATTTGCGGCTGTCCGAAGGCTTAGTCCTCGAGGTATTAAGCTACGAGCAAAAAGATACGCTTTCTTGCTTGAAATTCTTCGATTGGGCTGGACGCCAGCCTGGTTTCTACCATACTAGAGCCACTTTTAATGCAATTTTTCGGATTTTATCCAAGGCCAAGCTAATGTCCCTAATGCTAGACTTCCTACAGAATTATATGAAACGGAGGTATATGCATAAAGTTAGATTTTACAACACTTTGGTGATTGGATATGCTGTTGCAGGCAAATCTGAGGTTGCACTGGAACTTTTTGGTAGAATGAGGTTCCAGGGCGTGGACTTGGACGCATTTGCATACCATGTGCTGTTGAATTCACTAGTCGAGGAGGGCTATTTTGACGTGGTGGAAATGGTGGCGAAGCAGATTAGAGTCCGGGCAATTCAGAATGAGGTAACACATTCGATTATGATGAAGAGTTTCTGTAAGCAGAATGAGTTGGAGACGGCTGAAAACTATCTACGAGGTCTGGTGAGAGATAATGGGATGGGATTGAGTGGGGCTGCGGTTGGTATTTTTGTGGATGCTTTGTGCAAGAATAATCAGTTTGAGAAGGCTGCATTATTGATTGAGGAGTTCCATAAAATGAATTTGGTTTCGATGGAGTATGCATACAGCGTGTGGATTAGGGACCTTGTCAAGGGTGGGAAGTTGGATGGGGCATTGGAGTTTTTGAAGGATAAACAGTCAGTCGAGGGTTATGTTCCTGATGTTTTTCGTTATAACTCATTGATTTGTAGGCTTTTGATGGAGAATAGACTTATTGAGGTGTGCGATTTATTGATGGAGATGAAGGGGAGGGGAATATTGCCTGATGATGTCACAATGAATGCAACATTGTGCTTCTTATGCAAAGCTGGAATGATGGATGTTGCCATGGATTTATATGATTCGAGGGCAGAGTTTGGCCTTTCTGTGAGTTGCATGGCTTATAATTATCTTATAAATACTCTAGTGGGGGATGGTACTGTTGATGAAGCATATCGTGTGTTGAGAAATTCAATAGAACATGGTTATTTCCCTGGAAAAAAGACCTTCTCCATTATTTCTGATGCTCTTTGCAGAGAAGGAAAGCTCGATAAGATGAAAGAGTTGGTTCTTGTTGCATTAGACCGGAATATCATGCCCAATGACTTGACTTATGACAAGTTCATATCAGCTCTCTGTAGGGCCAAGAGAGTTGAAGATGGTTACTTGGTTCATGGCCAGCTTAACCGATTGAATAAAGTCGCTTCTAGGAGTACATATGTTCACCTGATCAATGGTTTTAACAAGTTGAGTAGAGGGGACATTGCTGCTAGATTACTCATAGAAATGCAAGAAAAAGGTTATCACCCTAAAAGGAAATTGTATAGAGACGTGATTTGCTGTTTATGTCTAACGGATGATACAGAGAAGCAAGTTTTCAGATTACTAGAGATGCAGTTGGCTCGGCTTCAGCCTAGTTCACGTATTTACAATTTCTTCATTGATGGTGCTGGGCATGCTAGAAAGCCTGAGCTGGCTAGGCAAGTATACGAAATGATGACAAGAAGTGGTCTCTTACCGGACTTGAATTCTGACATACTAATGTTGCAAAGCTACCTGAAAAGCGAAAAAATTGCTGATGCTCTAAATTTCTTCCATGAAGCATACAAGAGGAGAGACCGTAGAAAACTGTGGCAGACCATGATTGTTGGTCTTTGCAAAGTTAACAAACCAGAGCATGCATTGCAGATATTTGAGAATATGAAAGCAAACAAGTTACCAAGTCTGGAATCTTATGAGGAACTAGTGAAGTTGTATTGTGATCATAGACAATACTATAAGGTTGTAGAACTTATCAATGATATGACTCAAATTGGGCGTCCTATTTCTTCCTTTATCGGCAATGTACTTCTGTTGAATTCTTTGAGAACTCGGAAACTATATGATGCGTGGGCTTGTTTAAGTCATGAGCAAAATCTAACACCTGTCAGTTGGAAATTGGGCCAGCTGGTTGGTGTTTTTTCTGGCTGTATTGAAGTAAACCAAGATATGGAGGATGTGGAAAAACAGATTCAGCAATCCTTCCCTCTAGACACCTACACTTACAATTTGCTTCTGCGAAGATTAAGCATGAAGGAAATGGACTATGCTTGCCAGTACCTTGATAGATTGCATCAAAAAGGGTATGAGCCAAACAGATGGACTTATGATATAATAGTGCATGGTTTTGCCAAACGTGGTCAGATTGTAGAGGCTAGAAAGTGGATGGAAGAGATGTTTAGTAAAGGTTTCGATCTTACTGAGTACACCAAAAAAGTCATCTAGCATAAAAATCACTTTTTATTTATTCCGAAGATTACATATGATTCATCAGATGTACAACTGCCAAAAGCTTGGTGAGTTCATTGCATTCTTACTCACAATTTTCATTTCGTTTGTTGTACACTACTTTAAACCTGTTCTATATCAGCAAAATAATGCTTCTGGTATGTATTTACTCTTGTTGTTTTTTGATTCAAGAAGAAATTACAATAGTTATTTTTCTGCTTTTGCTACTTATTTGTTTCTATTTGACTCATATCTCAATGATGTAAGGTATGGACATATGTTAAGTCACTGTTCATATTAGTGGCACTTAACAGTGGTTTCATATCTTGTTTTATATCATGAATGAATACGAATATGAAGAACTTGGATATATGCTTCTTGGTATTCTTATTTGTCATTTATGGTTCAGTCAACTTTGTTTATTAGCATAATCTTAAGACTTCGAAATGGGAGGATTATATGATCATTTTATTTGATTGCTCAAGAATCACGAATTTAAAAAAATGACTTACTTTGTAGTTAATATTAGTCATGTAAGTGCACCGTATGAATTAGAATGGAATAAAATTGAATGATGTACCATAAGGTTTGTTTTCTGCAAACAAACTGGATAGAAGCTTATTTGTCTCTAGCATAGAAAGATTTTGGGAAAAAACCTTTGCTAAAACTATAGCGAACAACAAAAATTAGGGCTGCCTGTGGAAAGGAGTAAGAAGATTATCATTTATGGCAACTTATATTTAGCTTAACTTATTTTGCGGTTACTGCTAGATTTACATTAGTATTTGGTACGTATTAAGATGCATCAATTAGTAGTACTTAATATTGGTGAAAAAGTACAGGAAGTGAAGAAAATGAGGGAACGGTAGCAGCAGCATTTCCAGGCTCTCTCTCTCTCTCTCTCTCACACACACACACATACTTTTTTGTATTTTCATTTCATGGGTTTAGTATATAATGCATATTAGACATCGCTTACAAGAAATTTGGGGTCTTTTTTCTAATGCATATAGGTCATGTTTGGGTAGCAAATTGGTCTCTCGTCTAACAGGGTACACAAGTACTTTGTTATCATTTCTGTTTTGGATTAATAAAGTGGTCCCACTACTTTGAGTTCCTCCCTATCACATTAACAATTTGGGGAGGGGGTTTTGGAGATGGAAAAGCAGAAGGATTACAAGAGGTAGTATAATTTTAGGTTTGAAGAACTTAAAGAAGATTAAAGAGAAGTTGCAGCAGGATTTAACGGGATGAGGATGAATATTATCTCGAGGAGTAGGACAAAGATGGTGATTAGGAGAAACCTAGTTTCCAAACTTTTGGGATTAGAAGATGAACGGCACGATCCTGCAGCCTAGCGAAGTAGAGAAGGGCAGGTTGTTGCTGTTAGAGAGCAGGAGCTCATGGAAGAGTTGGATTATGAAGACAGACATAATAAATAATAGGAGACTTAGGTTCAACTACAAACATATGTACTAAAAAAAGGTTCTAATGATGGATGACAAATAGTTAGATAATTATGATTCTTTGAGAACAGGAATGCAAGGTGTCTCTATATTAAGAGATATCGGCAAAAACAGTCACTTTAGGGAGGAGAGACACGCTGATGACCGAGGAATCAAATGACAATACAACCAATACATCCAGATGGAGTAAGAGAAGGCGTTGTCAAGCTGAACGTGTTTGAGATTTATGGCTTATGAAATCCCTTCCTAACTTGGGAGCAAGAAACCATGGCAGAAGAGTATGATTGAAATTTTGAGCTTTTATCAATAGGAAGTAATGTATTTGATTAACTTAACTTGGTTGTTATTCCGACCTGCTATTCATATTCCTTGCTTTATCTTTTATACAGATTTACGTTCATTGGTTCGTGTCATTACCATAGTAAGCCTTTCAGTGAATATTTACGAATCTTTCAATGGAAAATTCTTTATGAAAGAGAAGTATTTACATTGGAATTGCAGTATAGAATTGCACTGAAGGACGAAGAATACTGAACCTCAAGTTTGTGATTATTTACGGGCAAATAATTTTTCTCGGAGCTACTTAATCATAATTGTTAGTTATTTATAGATCAAATGATCATTCTCTTTTTTAGTGTAGCTTGTTTCACTACTATATAAAAGAGCCACTTTGTTTTCCACTGTTCATAAGCCGTATGACCTTTCTACGCCGAGTCGCGTCGAGTCAGCCGAGCCATTTGAAAGTGTGTTGTGGTTCCGGAACATTCACGTCAATTCCTTCCATGCTTTCATTTTTTTCACGCAACCATCACCTCCACTGCAATATTTCTCCATTTTCACACGCAACGCAACATTTCTCCATTTTTAAACGCATTAACTTACTGAGTAGCAATGGCGGATCGAAACGGTAAATGGGTAGGAGAAGGGTTTGTAACCTACGCCTATATTGTGCTCTATATGGAGTTCTCCAGTGGCCAGATCTTCTTCAACAAGGTTCAATTTCTTACTTTCAAAAATCTATGACTGTAAACGTATGTAAGCATTGTGATGATCGTGATTATGTCTTTTTGTTTAGTGTTCTACAACAATACGATTAGAGGAAAAAGTTAATATAAAAATAAAAAATAGTGCGGAGAATTTCTTCGCAAAGCACGAAGAATGTTCAGAACCGAGAACATCTCTCCGTTCTGAACGGAGGCCTCTTCAATCCTAACAAATATAAAAGAGGCAGTTTTTATGGCCACGTAATCGTCACCCAAAACGACATCGTCTAATCTCAGGCTTAAGCATTAATCGCGTTTTACCTTCTCCGTGATGTACGGAGAGCCCAGCTCCGCGGTGCACGGAGTGCATACAAAATCAACCCTTTCTTTCTTCCTTCTTCCTCTTCTCTCCGCCGAATCAACCCTTTCTTCCTCTTCTCTCCGCCATTCGTAGAGAGGACCCGTCTCTCCGAGCACCCAGTGCACAGAACTGGGCTTTCCGTGGTGCACGGAGAGTGCATTCCTTACACCACGGAGCCCACCTCCTCCCTTACTCTTTACTTCAACCCCATTTCATAAAATTCCACCAAGATCTCTGTGGTACATGGCGGAGCCCGCCTACTCCCTTACTCTTTACTTCAGCCCCATTTCATAAAATTCCACCAACATTACTTCACTTTCATCCTTTCCAAGCCAACACCCTTGTCTGATATCTCTCTTTCTAAAATAATTGTGGGTGACAATTTTACACTTGTGTTGTAGATTGGAGTTTTTATGAACCTTGATTTTGCAATTGTTGCACGGTTGAGGAAAATCTGGGATTAAGTTTGTTCTATTTGTTTTGATTGGTGTCTATTTTGTTAATTATACGTGCTTAGAGTTTGAATTCTGGGTTTAGGTTTTGTTTTGGCTTTTCGATTTGATCGTTTTATCTTGACTTTGATAGCCCTTTTAACTATTAGTTCATTACAGTCCAATCACAACAGCAAATTTTCAATTCCATAGCCCCTTTTTTCTTCTTTTGTAAGTTTGAAAGGAACCCAATTGCGTGAATGTTTTCTATACTCAATGTATATGATATGTGTGTGAATATTGTATGCACGTGTGAGAATTTTTTGAGTCCTGATGTTGTTCCGGTGTTTGAAACTTGCAGGGAGGAAGAGAACTTTGAGTCTTGCCATGGCCAATAGTTTATTCAAGATTCAAAATCCCTTGGGTTGTTACTTTTTTTTTTTCTCTCGTTTATCTATTAATGCGTGCAATTTGGATATAACTTTATATGCTTGTTTCCATTAAATTGGTTTACTTGTTGGGTAAAAGTTACAGTTCCATAGTTATTATAAAAATTGGGGAAATAATTTATTTTTCTGGGTATTCCTGTTTGATAGGGGTAAGGGTGTTATGATTTGTGTGGTTGATGGCTGTATTGAAATTACTACTTGTTCTAGGAGTTTGGGTGCACAGGCTTTCTGGGTTTGTTCGCATTTCGTGGTTGAATTGTTATATAATAATGGTGTGCATTGTCCTTGCTGCGTGATTGTGGATTGAATGGCAAAGTTGTTATAAAATTTGGGATATTCAATTGAAAAAATATTGATCTTTTTGAATTTGACAATTTCAATTTAATCTCAGAGGGATAATACTGTTGTATTGAGATTCGAAGGGAATCGTGAGTCCTATATCTTGATGCACTTTTTTTTTGTTCACTGATGGTTCGTGGTCGTGGCTGAGTTTTGAAGTTTGGGTGATTAATACTTTGGCTAAAAAGACTACAATTCTTGCTGTTCCTAAATATATGTTATGAGGGTAAAGTGTTGTCGAAAAATGTTTTTTCGTGCTAACAGCTCTATTGCTCAAGTTCTATCTGGTGAGCCTAATTACAAGTTCTGTTCAGGCTTTATATGTTGAATACACAAAGACCTTCAAATAGTGAGCTCTATCAATATGGAAGTAAAATCTGATCATTTTTTTCTCCTTTCGTGGCGAGAAGAGTTATGAATTAAGGTGAGTAGCTGAGTGCTCCATAATGAACGTAGTTACATACTTGGATTAACACAAGCTGCATAAACGCCAATATTAATTATGTAAATGTGGGATCTGAAAATTATGCAGCTTGACATCATTTTTTAAACAGGAAGCTATATGGTCTTCAATTTCTTTATCCATCCAAGAAACACATACGAGCTCAAATTTAAATCTAATTGCAAAAACTACAATCATACAAAGTAGCACAGTAATATGCTATCTGGTTTATTTATATCAGCTAATGAAACATTTGTACAAATTTTAGACTTTAATTGCAAATCTACATAGTGCAACCATTTCACACTAAACTCACTCTCCTACATTCTTACTTACAGTACATCCTGAAATGTTTATAAGCAAGTCAAAAGAGGAAAATAAAACATATGTGCCATCAATTGTTCAATCTTTCACAATATGCATATTTTCGTACATGGAACTAACATCTTTGTGTAAACTGCCTCGATGAATGCATATTTGTGCAAGGGGAAGATCAAAAAATCAATAAATTTCTCATTTTTGTAATTTTTTATAACGTATTTTTCTCGATGTTGTCCTTGTAGCATCAGTTTCTGAGGATAGTTCTGAAGTACATCATTGAACATTAGGATCTTATATATGAGTGAGAACTCCTAACTGCACATATAGATGATGTCAAAGATTGGTTGTTCTGTTTTTGTTTGATATTTTGTATATGATGGGGTCTTTGACACTTTTTCATTGAACTCTCAATTCTAGAGAGAAAAAAGAGTAAAGTGTCAGTAGAAAAATATCAGCACGTTCAATGAATTATAAGGATCCCACTTTATATGTTGATCGTGCTGCATAAACATGGGATCATTTTTCGTGATGCAAGACTTCATTTATTCAAGATGAAAGAACTCAGTGATACTGTCTAGTCTAAGGAATGCATAGGATTAAAATTCATGATGTCTAAGTACTCAGAAGTTTTAGGATTCTCATTTTTCATGTGCATTTATTTTAATCAGCAATATGTACAACTGAGAATCGTATGGGATATTTGAAGAATCTATTTCCTTAGGGTACAATGGTTGCATGTATATAGCTTCATATATTTGTGTAATTTGTAGTCTACAGCTATCGGTTGTATTCAAGTGATGTAAGCTTGTTTATTTGTCTCGATTATTAATACTGGTGCATGTATGCTCATAGGGATAAAAAGTGTCTGAAAATTAACTGGTTTGTTCCTTCCTTTTTACATTTCCTTTTTCCTATTAGTTAAGGTTTCAATATTTCAAGTGGAGATAATTACTCTATGATGTTTAGTTTATTGCTGACTCATGTGTGCATGTATACGTACGTTCTCTTCTACCCCAGTTGCCATTTGGTTATTGACATTGGATTGTGCTGGAGTTCCCATTGTCTTTCTTGCCTTTGTCGTGTATGAGAAAAAGGAAGAAGAGATAGATAAATTGGCCCTGAAAATCCTCTCACTTGGTTACAAATTGAAGTCATGTAATTCTGGAAATACTTCCGACTTGAAGAAACTGCAATAATTGTTAAAATTGGCATGAAGAGCTGTTCATATTCATCACTTGCTTGGGACTGATTTGCGCTTTCAGATTCTTCTACTGTAGGCATTGGGTGCTTCGTCTTTTCTTCTGGAATTGAAAGATAACTGCTGAACTATTGGTACATTTTCTATCTTGAGTGCACATCTAGACCTAGGTGAAGCTGTGTATTGTGATCATTCGCTGCCGTTATCATGGATAGGCTTTCTTTTTGTTTGTTTCAAAGAGGAGTGAGTCTGACAGACTCTTCTTTAGGGGGAACAAATATTGGAACATACTCCTTTTGTTATTTTCAGGGTAGTGCTCACACTGGGACTTTACATACTTTGCAATTGTTTTCTGGCATTCCTAACCTAAACGAATGTCCATTTTTTGTTCATTCAGTCACAACATGTTTTATGAAGGTTTGCAATTGTTTTCTGAAGGTTTTTCTTTCACATAAAAAGCCAAGTCAACTTCTCTCAACTGCAAACGCGACTACTCAAATTCTATACTGGCATCTTGATAAAGTTTATGATGTTGGAAATATAATTTGTTTAATTGCTCTATGCCTCTATCTGCTACATTCTTCTACATTAGTATAACTAAAATCACTTTGAAAATTCACCCCACACTATTAGGTAGCCAACTACATTCCAACACGTGCATTGCACGTGCCCACCACTAGTCTTGTAAAACATGATTATATTCACTAGTTTGATTTTTCTTTTTTTATTTTTTCATCTAGCAACAGATTTTCTTTGATCTTACAAAAATTATCTAATAAATGCAGATTCATCTCTCATCCAGTAATTACCTTGCATTGGAGCTACATTAAAAGTTATGGCGTTTTGTCCCTATTTTTTCTCTCTGTATTCTCCATACATGAGTACATAATTGGACAGAATCAAAATTACCCTGAATCTCTGGAGATAAACAGATAAAGACATTTGCAACTGTCCATCATTAGCATTGTGATTGGCAAGTCAATATCCTTGTTTCCTTTGGCTCTTTCCAACTCTGTCTCTTCAAAAGTTAGCAGCTATCAGACATGGACAGAACTAGGCTATATAAGTGAATAATATTACTATAGCATGGACTAATCCTTTTATAAAATCCTATAATGACTACTCTCTTAAAAGAGAGAGTTCAGGTTCACTGTTCATTCATGTTTTTCACTCACAATTTACTGTTTCTCGTGTGGACAAAAAGAAGGGTAATATGGATATTTGTCTCATGCCACAAATGTTGACCGAAGAAGTGATATTTTAGATGCCCAATGTTCATTACTCTACGTGCACCATGGAGAGAACGGAGAGTTCCACCGCCACTCTCTCTCTCTAAATCGCCACCCGCATTCGCTTTCCACCCAACCAGAAAATTCACAAACTCACCCCTCAAATGCTCCCTCAACTCTCACCTATCCACTTATTCAACTCAAAATTCAAGTGCCCGGGACTCTCTCTTACTCCACCTCTCTGCCTTGTCCCCGTAGACTCCAGCCACTGCGATGCGCGGGGCCGAGACTGACACCAGGGGTTTGTTGCTCAAGGATAGGATTGTCTTCTTGGGAAATCAGGTTGATGATTTTCTTGCTGATGCTATTATTAGCTTGCTGTTCTTGCTTGATGCTCAGGACCCCTAGATCTATGGTCCCAGATCTATGCTTAGAATACAATTCAGATGAAACTTTCCGTTGGGTAGATTAATATTTGAAAATTAAGTAAAAAATAATGCCTCCTAACCTCATGCTTCTTCTGTGAAGTTAAATATCACGAGAAAGAATTTGATAAATTTAAGGGCAACACATTCTTAACAATATAAGTTTTTTTCCTGTGCTGAAATCGATCAAATTTGAATGAAATAGGAAATATTTTGCATTTATTTTGATCATGGCACCAGCTACAGCGACATGGGATTCGATTAAACCCAGAGGTACTGTATATGCTATTTTCATTTTTAGAATTTGAAAAAGAAAGAGCAAATACGTTACATTCCGTGAGGATTTTTACTACTATGGTGACATCCCAGTCTTTCCAAATATGAACAAAATTGTAACTTGAAGAAAGGGGAAAGAATAATTCCAAATTTTGAACCTTATTTAGTGCCAACCTTGTTGTACTTTTACTATTTTGATTAGAGTACATGCAAATGCAATGTAAACTTACAAATTATTAAAACTTGACATGTTCAGTTAATGCATTGTTAGTTTACTTTATCTTTATTAAATTATTCTAAAATATCTATTTGTGTTTATTTGTAAACAAACAAGTTGTTCTTGATCATATTTGAAAAATATAGGAAGTACTTTAAGAAATAAATTATATTTCATAATTTTATTTGGACTTTGTTACAAAATTTTGTAAGTCATTTTACTAAGGGCGATGCTTCCTTTTAGGTCAGGAAAAAAAAAGATGTGAGAACAAAGAGAGAGAAAGTTCAAATATAGTATGAAAGCAGTTAAATGGGTAATGCGTTTTCTTTTTTTGGGCTGACATGGGAGGATCTGTTTAGGATAACAAATCTCATGGAGTTTCTATGATTTTTTAAAAGGGAGGGGCATTCCATTATTTTTCTCAAACAGAAAGTAGTTGCTACACACACTACTTGCTGCACTATCTTGTTCTGTGTTAGCTTGTGTAGTGTGCATGTTTATGCGTGTTTTTTTCCCTTAAGAATCTTTGGTGATTTAGTTTTAACAACATTTTAATCTTTTGTTAAATGTGAAATTTTCTTCTATTAGATAGTTTAATGCATTGTGAATTTTTCTTGGTGCTTCTGTAACTCTAATTATATGCCCTATTTTCTTCTCTTAAGAGTATTTAATGCTTGTGCAAGTTCACCTTGATATAATGTTTTAGCTTTATAATTAGTAAGAACTTGTCAACATTTGTTTAATTGGCATGAATCCTCTGCTTTGATTTGAATAGATGTTTGCATCGTTGGTGTTGCTCGAACACCAATGTCTGGCTTTCTTGGCTCCCTTTCATCACTATCGGCAACCAAACTTGGATCTATAGCTATTGAGAGTGAGATTGCTAACAGTTCATTATGTCATCCAAATGGAGAAACTTGTTTATAACGGTGAAGTTCTAATGTTGTTTCTTTAACCTGCCAACTTTTAGGTGCTCTTAAGAGAGCAAACATCGATCCATCACTTGTACAAGAAGTTTTCTTTGGAAATGTACTCAATGCAAACTTGGGACAGGCTCCGGCTAGGCAGGCAGCATTAGTTTCAGGGATTGCCAATACAGTGATTTGCACTACTGTTAACAAAGTCTCTGCATCAGGGATGAAAGGTTTGGTTCCTACTCTAAAAAACAGAGATCTTCTTTCAACCGAAATTATAATTTCTCTACAGCAGAAATAGGAAGGCATTATATTTGTGATATTAGTTATTACACTCTTTTTCATTATAGCAACTGTGCTTGCTGCACAAAGTATCCAGTTGGGCATCAATGATGTTGTTGTGGCTGGTGGCATGGAAAGCATGTCCAATGTCCCTAAATACTTAGCTGAAGCAAGGTTGGTGATCTAATTGAGGGACATGCTTTTGTTATTTACCATCTGCTTTGAGTCAAATAATTATTTCTTGTTCTTAGTTTCAGTGAAACAATAAAAATTACAACAATAATCGTTACTAATAACAAATTTCAAACCCACATTTTTTCATGATTTGATTTCCAATTTAGTTCTGATTATTTTGTGAAATTCAAGAGCTAATTGTTGTTTTTCCCCCAATTATCTGCCTCGAATTAGAATTAGTGCACCACAGAATGGCTGTGGATGATGTTTTACCACTTCCCTTTCTTCCAATGCTTTTATAAAAAAATATTTTGACACCCCATATGTTCTATTTGAGATTTCAATCGCGTATTATTCTTAGCAAAACATTATCTACTTTGCATTAGGTTTTGATTTATTCCCCTGCTCGAACTGCTAGCTAACCATCAGGAAAGGTTGGGAGGTGGAAAATCAATTTCATGTCGACACAGAAGTATGTCTCTATCACATGCTGCCCATTTATGTTTCTTTAGTTTCGTATTGGTGCATCGGATTTCAGCAGTATAGTTTTGATTGACTAGATGTTTTGATCTATTTGTGAAGAGTGATGCTATTCATAGTCGCTTACTGCAGCAGTCGTCCCATGTGGCACACACATGACATGTAGTTATTAGATGCATTAATGTGGTAGTTTTTTTTATCACATTAATGCATTAAATACACACTTGACATGTGTGTGCCACATAGGGTGACTGCTGTAGTGAGCGACTGCAAATAGCATTATTCATTTGTGAATGTATACTTCCAAAACCATCCTTGGCTAAATTGACATTGTAGTTCACCATTGTTAAACCATAGAAAACAAATCTAAATCGGATCAGTTAGTAACTCTGTGATAGGAAATAAGCTGATCTTCCATTTTAAAGTTGGGCTTTTTGGGCAGTTCTAAGCTAAAAAGAGAGTATTTCCGTAGGCTAGGTTTTTACTTCTGATCTAATATCGATATCATAGTTTAAATACACTCGCCCAAGCCACTCCATTGCTCAAACATGCACCATCTGGCATTGTTTCAATGCTGTTATGCCGTTTGCAGTTTAAGACAGTAAGCCTCCTTTTTGCAAACTTGTAAATCGTTTATAAATGACCAAACTTCATTTTCAACCACCCATTCCAATGCATTCTCAAGTACTATATACTTATCCACCACTCATTTGTATCTATTCAACTCAGTTTCAACTATCAATTATAGAGTACCAAAAAAATTGCAAATTATTATTGCCCAGAAGAGATGCTTGAGGTGCAACTCTCTTTATGAAGCCATGGCCACACCACTGGAATGAAAATATGCCCATGTGTATTTTTTTAACTGCAGTCTCGTGTATATATTTTTTGTAACTGAAAGGGTTTGTTTTGAAATTGGTTTCATTCTTGATTGATGGGATGCTTTATGTAACGACCCGACCTCGCGCCGGAGTCGTTAATCATATCATATGTACTGTCCGCTTTGGGAGATCCTAAGCCCATCTTACCCCTCACGGCTTTTTGACGCGTCCCCAAGATTCGAACCCAACACCTCCATCATATGGAAGATTTAAGTTGAATTCTGGTACCAAATTGTGTTCTCATGTTTAATACGTTTTCATTTTATTTGCTATTTGTAATTCTGTTGGGTTAAGATTTAGGTTAGGATTAATGGTGGAAGTTGAGGTTGATTAAATTATAAATCGGAAAGCATATATTATTTTAAATGCAAATGCAAGTCTTTCTTCAAAAAATATAACACTGTAAATACCAAATGTGTTTTCATTTCCTATTTGTAGTTCTGTTGGTTTAGGATTAATGGTGGAAGTTGAGGTTGATTAAATTTTTTGGCTTGTACATTTAAAAGAAAAACATTTGGAAAAAAAAAATTGGACAATTATTTTAAAGAAGTTATTGATTTTCATATTTATATTGAATAAATGAAATAAAAAAAATATTAAATTCAATTATTCTCTTCGCATTCGTGCGCAGCAGGTTCCGCACAATTTTTTGTTCGATCTTTTGAGAAATTGAACTCGAAATAATGAAATTTTGTTCGTTGAAGCAGAATTTAATGAGACAACTATCATTCACTTCCCCAAAGCACCCATTTGGAGGTTACTACCACCGTTTTGACGCTGATTCTGGTCGTGGACAACCTAATCGAGAAGATGATCAACAAGTTGTTATCAAGACTCCTCCTGTAAGTTTTTCATTTTTGAACCCTTGTTACACTGATTTTATCTTTGTACTTATTTTCATTTCAGACTTTAGTGTGGTTATGATTTATACAGCATATTAAGATCTCTTATTTTATTGGATATTGGAAACAATGTATAAATTGAAATTGAAGTAGATGGTAATCATTTAGGGGTCGTTTCCAATGTATGTAGTATCAAGTCTGAATATACTAAAGGTGGGATTTTTATGTTGCCAAGAGATATCATTAATGGGTTGGAATTGAATTAGTGAATTTGTATGGATTGTAAGGATTTTGACCATAGTCATTTAGCTTGTTATAATGGTCAATCTTCCATTTTTTTTTCTTTTGTTTAGTGTAATTGTGAAGTGGGCTCTGATTTGAGTTCTTCTGGAGATGAGTGCGAACATGATTCTTTGGTATGGTTTTCTGGCGTAATAATCTGTATCAAGGGCAAATTCTGAATCACTTATAAATCTCTTAATTTTTTTGAAGATCTACAATCTTTTCCGATGCATTGCAGAAAATATTATGTTAGCAGATATCCTGCTGAAAGCATTATAAAATTACTTCGAATTACTTCTTCTGTCATATCCCCATGGCACATGTCAACATGAGAGACCATAATTTTTTTACCATTAAGTCAATAGCTTCAAAAGTTCTCTAAAAATATATTTATGCTTTTCGATTTTTTGAATTTCATAGTCATTGGAAGATATACTTGAAATTTGGGGATTGAAAGCAAATTGCAATGTTGCTTACTTGAAGATTTCATTTGTTTGATGGTCAATGTAAACAGCGTTGAGGTTAAGGATATGAACTTGACTGTAAATTTTGGCTCTTCAGATCTTCTTGTTAAAAAGAGAGGGTTGTGCTTCTTGTACATCACCATGTATATCAAGGTGTCCATAATGGACACCCGGCGCCTCCCTATTGGAGGGAGTGCCGGTAGTATTTCCCAAAAAGAGAAGTGTCTTTGGACCTTAATGTAGATTAAGAAGATGTACTTATTTGTTGTCTAAATGTATATTTGAAATGTTGTTAACCTTAAGAACGATTAATTAATTTATAAGCAGGAGCAGGAGCAGGAGCAGGAGCATGAGTAGGAATTGTAAAAATGCCAATAAAACATTTATGGTTCAATCATATCATACAAAATTTCCAATTGCTCAGGACTGGTGAGATCACATTAAGTTTGTATAATGTATCAGTTCCTCATGTAACTATATAGTCCGACTCTCATCAGTCGAAATTGACTCACTTTGTAAATTACATTAGGTTTTATATTTTAGATTCCATAGTAGATGGCGTTACGGTTTTACTTAAGATTGATTAAAACCTGAATGGATGTCCTATGAACTATTCTTATGATCTCATATAAAATTTAACTCCTTTGATTGGAATTATCTATAGATGATGAGTAGGACACAAGCCAAATAAATCTTATTATTTCATAACGCAATTAATTGCTTACCTGTGTGTTTGTTTATATTGACTACATTATGGAGTGGGCTTGTCCAAGCACCTAAGATTTACTGTGGTTGATATTTCTTTTACTATTCATTTACCCACTTACTCAGATTGTGTACTTTTATCTTGATGATTGGAGGTTGTGCGCTGCATTGGTTATGTAGAGCGTTGAAAGACCTGGAGAACTCTCTTTCTGCAATCTGTATTAAGTACAGTGTAACTAATCTTTTTGGGCATGCTAATATATTTATAAACAATTTAAACCAGGTGCTTATTCTTAGCATTAATGTAGATGGTGACTTTTAGCTCATTAAACATAGTTTTGACATTAGATTTTGGTGTATCACCAGACAGATGTGGTCTGGTAATTCCATCAAATGTAACTCATGAACTTTTGGTGAGACATCTTAAATAGAGAGAAATTATTATAATGTCTGCCAATGTGTCTTTTTTGACACACTATTAAGGTTTCTTTCTAAGATGCAAAGATGATATGGTTTTCATCTGCATTCGAACTACATTCTGCAACAAACCAATCATTGTTCCCACTAAACTTGGTATCGATCACTTTAATCTTTTCTTGTCACAGAATAACTGAAATTACCAATTACCTCGAAATATGTTCTTTGAAAGTAGGATTTTTTTAGTCTGTTTTATTTATGAATTGAAGAGTTATTGCTGAGCTGATAAATGGTGGCATTTCTGCTAATATATGAACTGCTTCTTCTTTGGTTCCAGTACTTTGAGTCTTTATTGCAAGAAGTTGAAGAGGAGACTCCAGGGGAGGACCCTCTTGTAGTTGCAAAATAAACTGTCAATTACGTTCGAGGTCTGCAAGAAATGGGACAGGAGGGAAATTTTAGCGGTGAAAGTCTTAAAAGTTTCAAGTTATTGCAAGCATTATACTGCCTATGATGTTGGTAACTGGAAAGGCGTTGATCGATTTCACTTTGACGCTAAGGTATATATCCTACATTTTGCAAGAAAAAGTGAAGAAATTTGAAGAAGAATGGATTTTCAGTAATTAACTTCTGCTTATTCTTTTTTTGGTTAATCCATTTTTTCAGGTGACACCACAGGATTTGGAGGATACATTTCAGCCACCATTTAAGAGCTGTGTAGAAGAGGGGCATGTGAGCAGTGTAATGTGTTCATACAACAGGATGAATGGAATTCCTACTTGTGCTGATCCAAATCTTCTTAAAGGAGTAATCAGAGGGCAATGGGGTCTAGATGGGTATGTTTCTTCCCCAAGTAAAATTAGAGCCCCATTAGCGTAGTTCATAATTATGCGCATATTACTGTTTGATAAGCTATGGAGACATTTCTATACAACTATGTCAGTAATTAAACTTTCCTGCTCAATATAGATACATCGTTTTGATAAGAAAAAATCATATTGCATTGTCCGTTAAAATTGATTGGTTCAACACATTTGAATATCCACATCATCATGCTTTATGACGGACACATATTTTTCATGAGTGTATTACTAAAAAAAATTTTCCAGTGTTAAATGTGGTCTTCTACCAGTTCATTCGAAGTTTGGAAATTCGTGTAGAGCTTGTCTAATTCGGTTCAGTTAGACAAAGTTCTCAATTAAGTCAATTAGATTTTAGGTGGTTTTAATTTTGTTGTTTTTGAATTGCATAATTTTAGTAGAGCTCATCCAAATCCGTGACTATGAAGTGTGAAAAAAATGCTATATTATGCATTCAATGCTTAAAAACAAGCTACCAAAAAAAGGGGAGAAATATATTTTTTTGGAACGCTAACATTACCTTCATAATCACATTGCCCGTGCATGGACTAGTTCTTTTAAAAGTTCCAGATAGATGGGGGAAAATTCAGTTCTTCATTAATATTGTATGCATGGAAGCTACTGGACTCGGTTTCTTGATGAATCTCTGTTCCAGCTATTTCACTCAGTGTGTCCCAATTAAAATTTTTATCTGCAAAGCTAGCAAATCCTTCATTGTCTTTGGATGATGATTCTATATCTGTCAGACTACTGGAGTCATTACTTACTTGATGCTGTTCCTCTCTTTTTAGTATCCCCATCTGCTGGAGAAACTCATTGAGATCAATCTGTGGCTTCTCTTGACAATTGGTCAAGCTACTTTCTAATGAAAATTCAGCATCTTTCCTTTTCATTTGAGGATTTTCTACTTGAGGTTGACCGTTTATGCTCTGGATATCGATTTTAGGGGCGCTGGATGATGAGCTTGATGAAGATAACTGTCCAAAAACTCCAGTTTTCCTGAGTTCTTGGAGCCTTTGATGAATGACACGTACATTTGGCTGCACGTTTAAATTTAGTAATCCTGTAGTGGGAAACATCGAGGTGAAATTATTTGAAGGAAACCATTTGAACTTATGTGATTTGTTCAAAGGGTTGAAGTTTGATCGAAGGTGAGGTAGATTAAGGTAAGCATCGGGACCATACAACCTCCGTGCAGCTTCATCGTAAGCCATTGCTGCTTCTTCAGCAGTGGCGAAAGAGCCTAACCAAAGTCGGGTTCTCTTCTTTGGCTCTCTGATTTCTGCGACCCATTTGCCCCAGGTTCTTTGTCGAACGCCCCTATATTCGCACATAGCATTTTGGGGGCCGCCTTTTCCTCTCGCAGGGCCTTTCTTCCATGGTTTGAGTGGAGATTTTCTGCAACTTTCCATGCCAAGTGTCAGTGGAAAAGAGAGTGAAGTGAAGATTGCAAAGAGTGGAGTGTTTGGCGCGGGATATGTATGGAGTGAGCGTAGTTTGTTATAAATGTTTTCACGTTTGGAGTAAGTCCTCGAAGGCCGAAGCCCATGTGACCGTTGGGCTTAGTTTGTGATATTGTATAGTTCCAAACTTCCAATTGGCTGTTTATTTTATTTTATTTTCTTTAGTTCACAATCTCTCTCTCTCTCTCTCAATATGGCGTGATAGTTCAAAATTGTCGTTTATGCAGCCATGCAAACACGTGAGAAGTATGCATTATGGTGCATGTGGGAAGCGCATAGCATGAATTATGAAGTAAGAATCCAAGGTCCCAACTGCCCTAAAAACTAGCAACTTATTTGGAAAATGTACATACTTTAGAGACCGATCTTTTTTGGGTAATAAGTTTTGTTGAAACTTTGAAAATAAGTAATTACAGTATATATTCGACATACAAGTTTATAAAAGTTATTTCACCTGGAATGTATGGAATTATATAAAATCGCGATTAGATATACAAAAAGTGTAAATTAATATCAAATGCTTAAATTGTTAAAATGCCTAGTCAGTCTTACAATTAGGGGTGGGCGCGGATCGGTTCGATTCGATTTTTTTCGGTTCCAGAAATTTTCGGCTATTTAGTAAATGGAACCGTCGGTTCCAAATATAATTTTGGAACCGTTCGGTTTCGGTTCGGTTCTATTCGGTTCCGTACTATAATTAAATTTTTTAACATTTAAAATAATACTACATAAATACACTTGAAAGTGGATACCAATATTAATAACAAAAAGTAGATACATATACCAAGTTTAATCTTAACTTTTACAAATTAACGTAATCTAATTTAATAACATATAAATAATAAGTTGTCAAATACAAATACCAAAAAGTAAATATTACTAATAAAACTTCGATATTCATATCAATAATTCATTTGTTTCAAACCTTCAAGTCTACATAAAAGTGAAATATAAATTAGAAGTCACAAATATAAAATATTTTAAAGTATTGATAATACTTACCAA